CAGGAAATCGACACACCCCGCGCGGGCGGCGGCAGACGCACGTGCTGCCAACAACAACGACGACAAGCAACTAACAAAAAGAGGAGCCCTATCCCAACAAAAACAACAAAGCAGCGACAGCAGCAGCGACAGCAGCAGCAACAGCAACAGCAACAGCCACAGCCACAGCCACAGCCACAGCGACAGCAACAGCAACAGCAACAGCAACAGCAACAGCAACAGCAACAGCAACAGCAACAGCAACAGCAACAACAACATCATAAAGTGCTGCTGCCGCTCGTTGCTGCTGTCTGCAGAATGCCATTGTTATACACTAGAGCCAGCACAACTTCTCGTCCTCCTGCGCGCCGTCGCCGTGTACTAGCTTACTAGCACTGGTGGTGATGGTAACAGTACATCTTATGATGATTCTAGTCTCGTTGTCATTGCGATTTATCTTCGTCGCCGCGGTTGCTGTCGAGAAATACATAGTTTATAACCGCAGCAACAGAAAGCCAATGCATGGTACAGGGCCGCGGGTCAAACAGCAGAAGCCCAGGAAAAGTCAGGCTCAAAGAGGTGTGTCAGCGACAAGAGCCGGAACCTACAGTTTCAGATTCCCCCGGGCAACTTATCTGAGGAACTACTGATGATAGCAGTGTTCTCTGAAACGACTGGGACTTCGCTAGTTTCCCTATGACGACGCCAGAGTGCAGGTTTGTCCAAGTCTGAAGCTTGAAGACCGACTGAAAGCCAAAGACATACCGGACCTCTGCATCGGTCGTATGAGTCAGAAGCCTCCCGACACCATGTAGCATCCGTTGGAGCCCAGAAAGAATGATAAGATGACAAACGTCTTACCTGAATGATGACCGAGGCCGAAGACCGGATCTCTGGCGAGCTCTCCTCTTAGGCGGTTTCTCTTCGTGGGGCCCTGCACGTAGTCGTCTTGTGCATGCAGTCTGCATCCGGTCTGATCAGTACAATTTAGTCTTTTTGGGGTCGAGTCTGGGGTCACTCGCTGAATCACATCATGTGTGACGGTCTTGTGTTTTGTTTTTTGTTGATTTCTCTGCATTCTGACGACATGATCCTCTTGCACCTTCAGCCACATCCATGGCCGTGGCCTTTGTAGACCTGACTTCTGCGCACTGGGGCTGACGGCAGGCGAGCCACATCGAAAGCTTGTGGAAGCTGTTGCCCCAATATGGGAGTCCCAGCTAGGTTCTACCAGACCAGGCCATAAAATTTAAACCCGAAGCCCTACGCTTCCGGAAACAGAGGATAACTGCAGCTGCTGCTCTTCTAGCCCTGTCGACTTCTCCTGAAACTCTTCTAGTGGGCGTGTCAGCTTTCGACTCTATCTTTGAGCTAATCTAGGGCCTTGAATAAGTACCAAGAGTGTTCCTAAGGGGTTTCTTCTGATAGTTATACTCAATTAGGTACGTCCCAAAGACCTCTTCTGTATGTTAAGGTTAAGGGTCAGTAGGCACTCCGAAGCCTTGGGACCAAGAGAAGATGCATGGGAGGTCTTCTCCTCACCTCCGTGGTGCCTCGTCCTTCCTGTCCAGCCTCGGGCTGCCCACTTCTCCAAGCAAGGACCACCCTGCTGCCCACTTCTTGAAACTTTTAAGCATGCCCGAAGTCCTTGGAGTGTTATTCCTCACGGCTGTACCCTGGAGCCCCAACCGTTAAGCATCCTGAAACAACCATCAGCACACCTACAGGAGCCTTGCCTTCAACCCCCAGAAGCCCAAACCCTCGCCAAGGCCCAAAGAGCCCATTACCCCAACACCTGCAAACCCCTACAAAAGGCCCTACAAACCCCCACACCCCAAGAGTCTAAAGTCCCACAACCCTAAAGCCCGAAATTCCCAAAACCCCCAAAACCTCCCAACCCGCAAACCCGAAACCACCAAACCCACAAACCCTAGACCCTGAAGAATTCGAAAACCCCAAACCCCCAAACACCACCACCTCCGAGACTCGCTGAACCCGAAACTAAACCCTAAACCTAAAGCCTTAAGCCCTGCACCCCAAACCCATCCTAAACCTCAAACCCTAAACCCTGAAACGCCAAACCCGAACCAAGCCCTGAGGAGATCTCGAGCTCGGGAGCCACGGCGCTCGGCTTCCGGTCCAGCCAGTAGCGCATGCACTGAACGCCGGATGCCGCCCTGTTCTGTTGATTTTTGGGGTTTATGGGGTTTACAGGGCTTTTTGGGCCTTATAGAGTTTAGGGATAGGGTTTAAGGTCTGGGGATTTAGAAATTTCGGTGCGGAAAGGGCGACACCATGCGATAATTCAAGCACTGCACCGCACTTGGCGGGACACCTCTGGTTTTGTTCTGAGAGGTCAGCGTCAGAGGAGGCCTGACAGTGTGCGTCGTTGCCTGCAAAACTCGTTTGTCAGAATTAAAATCGATGACGCCGCAGAAGCCACCTGACCAGTCTGGGTGTGGTTTGAGCTGAGCCGAGCTACCTCGTCATCGTATCTCGCGACGTCTTTGAAAGAGTGGCTGCTGCAGTGACATCGAACCACAACCACACCGCCCGATGAAGATTCGGCTTGAACCTGCGAGCCTGCACGTGGTCAACAAGAGCGCAGCTGAGGCCTTTCTACCAGGACTTAACACGCCCATAAAGGCCTGTCTCCTTGAGGCTTCGAGCTTCTCAGCGTCACTGGAGGATGCACATGAAGGAGGGCAGATACAGCAGCATGTGTTATGTGTGGAAACCATCTGCCGCACCTGAAATCACCATGGGAAGTTGATGCGTGGCTTGCGCTTCCTTCCCCAAGCAAGTAGAGGCAGACCTCTTGGCATGTAGGGGTGCTTGTCCATAAAGGGGCCAACGACACAGCACCTGGGGGCGAATCTCAAGGGCCCTTATCTAGATTCTAGATCGGACATTCTGCCGAGCCAGTCGCACTGGGCGACTCGACTCTCTTATTTCTCCCAGTCACAAGCCGAACTCCAATCTGTCTACTAGAAAACAGACAGAGCATCCAGCACTCCCTTATCACCGTCACCTGCAGCGCCGCAGAAGTCTTTGTCCATTGCAGCCACACAGAAGCAGATCGATTTAAGATTTGGCTGAAGTGCTCTTTCCGGATCTCCGGGATGGCGCTCAAGGCGCCAAGGCAAGCGATGGCGCCCGGTGCGGCGATCATGGCTCCCCGAATCGGGCATCTTGCTTTGATTGTGATTAAGAAACAGATGCGAACATATTTACATATATCTATATGCGTGTATGTAAACCTGTATCGATGTATGCATATGTATATGTGTATATATATATATACGTATGTATGTATGTATGTATGTATGTATGTATGTATGTATGTATGTGTATATATATATAGAACGTACAAACATACATTACATTACATTTACATTACATTACATTACATCACATCACATTACATTGACAATTGACATGACATGACATGACATGACATGACATAATGTAACATACATACATACATACATACATGCATGCATGCATGCGTGCATGCATACATACATACATACATACATACACACTTACTTACACACATACATACATACGTACATACATACATACAGATAAATACATATATGTGCGCAGTCTTGAAGCATCTTGGGACACGGGATTTTGTTCGAAGCATGCTGTAAATATGGAAAACTAGATCCCCAAATCTGAACAACTACAACGTGCTGCAATACACTAAAACATAACATACTACCAAATATCCTATCACATTGATTCCGAGGATGGTGACGATGGTCTCGGAGTCCCAGCGTCGGCCCACGGTGCGGGTGAGCGAGATGCTCGCTGAAATTGCTATCCGCTACAATTACGAGGCGCGGGTCTCCACACGCATGCACGTGGTGAGCACCCAAGCATCATAGGACCATATATACAATGCAGTTCCATATCACTCGTTTGCGGGGGAGTATCAAGCTAGACGATGAACCAAGCCAGTGACTGGGGAACCCGGCAACGAACCGAGAGAGAGACAGGTGGGCAAGTGCGCAGGCGCGAGGATGCGCGTGCGCGGGCGCGCGCGTGTGTGTGTGTGTGTCTCTCTATGTATATATATATATATGTACGTATGTGTGTCGATATGCATGCTATATATATATACACATGTATTTATAATCTACATATGTATACTTGTATGGAGCTTGATGTTACATAGAACATGATACACTATACTACCATATACTATATTATGCTATACTATAATGGCCTTCAATGTAATAGAATAGAATGTAGTAGAATAGGGGATAATCTAATTTAACATAGTACAGTCGTATAGTATAGTAGAGTATAATATGACTTGGCATCGTATAGTATAGTATGGTATAGTACAATCAATATAGTATAATACAGTGTAGTATAGTTTAGTATAGTATAGTATCGTATAGTACAATATAGTATAGTATAATATATGGTATAATAAAGGTAAAGTATAGTATGGTGGTATAGTACAGTATAGTATAGCATGGAACAAAGTATGGTAGAATATAACATAGTATAGTATAGCATAGTGCAACGTAGTATACAGTATAGTTTTGTCCAAAATAGTAACACAGAATCGAATCGAATAAGTAATGTCGTGTAGTATAATATGTTTTACTATAATGATATCTGTGGGGTTTTGTGTTTGTGTCTGTCAGTGTGCATGTGTTTGTGTTTGTGTTCGCGTATGCATGTACAATCATACGCGAGTTGTGCATGCATGCCCATGTGCAGACTTATATATGTATACCTATCTATCTAAATATCTATCTGTCTGTCCGCCTGTCTGTCTATCTATCTATCGATCTATCGATCTATCTATCTATCGATCTATCTATTTATCTATCTATCCATCCATCTATCTATCTACCTATCTATCTATCTATCTATCTACCTATGATATATGTATGTACGTATGCATGTATGTATCCATAAAACAATGTATGTATGTAAGCATGCATGCATGTATGTATGTATGTATGTATCGATGTATCTATGTACCTGTATGTGTGTGTATGTGCTGTTTGTCTGCGCGTTAGTTCACCTTGGTGTTTGTTGTTTGTCTGTCTCAGCTCCATCCAAATCTCCACCTCTCTCTGCCCCCATCTACAACTTCGATGCGCTATCTACCCCTTCAGCTTAAACCCCAAAGCCCACATGTACGCATTTTCGCAGTAGCACCAATACGCGCTTGCCACCAGCTTTGGAGGAACAGTTTGGTTGCAAGGCTAGTATCGGTTCTGAACCACAAGCTGTTGCAACGCTAAGGATCTTCTGATGCATGAACGATACATAGTTTCGATAGCCCTAGTAGCAACCCTCTCACTCATTCCCAGTATGGACCCATGAGAGTACCCCCTTCTAGTAACCCTTATGGCATCACTTCTTGTTGTCATGTCCGTATGGGCTGGCCCTGCTCTGCCTCGAGGAGCTTAAAGCCGCCACGAGGGACTGGAGCAAGGGACGCCAGCTGGGCAGTGGCTCATATGGTGCTGTTTTCAAAGGGGAGATGGAGGCAGGAAGGGGATGTCAGCTGGCTTTGGGAAGTTTGTGCATGCCACAGTCAGAGCACTGCCGATCTGGTTCAGTTTTGAGCATCCATCAAGATTACTCTTGCGGTTATTGATGGTATTTTCTATGTATATATACATATATGTATATATGTATATACACATGCATGCACACACACACACACACATACCTACCTACCTGCCTGCCTGCTTGCCTGCCTACCTACCTACCTACCTACATACATACATACATACATACATACATACATGCATACAAACCCACGCACACAGACACACACACACACAGACATATATATATATATACACACACACATACACCATACACACACACATACTTTTGTGTGGAGAGCAAAGGCTTGTTAGCTTGTCAATCGTGTGTTCTTCCTATTCGTGCACATTATGATTGCGCTCCCCCTACTAGTTTACTGTGCCCTCCGTGCTCTTCTCGGTGCCGTGGAGGATGGCTCCGAAGTCGCCATTAAGATGATCGATCTCGGTGCGTTGGGCGCTGCCGGGCAGCTCCTTCCCTAGTCTCTGGTGGGGTTAGGGTTTGGGGGGGTTTGGGGGTCAGTGTTGAGAGCGGGATTTGAGATTTCGGCCGGCTTTCTGCATTTTCGTTAGGCGAAACTCGCGGTGACAGCAGGGACAGGAAGGGTTGGGGCTCCACGAGGAGCAGGCTCGACTTGACCCAAGTTCCCTTCAAGCTCCACCATCTCCCAGGACAGAGGATATGGCTGGTTTCGAGGAGGAGGTGAAGAATTTGAGCAAGTGCCGGGCTAAGGCTTTTTTTAACACCTTTGCATACAAAGCAGCAAAGGGGGAAGTGACCCTTTTGCCGCCCTTTTCGCGGCCCTGTGCGTCTAAGGTTTCGCCACCCGAACCTCGTGACTCTCATCGGCTGGGGGAAGCACGAACAGCCCGAGCCCTGGTCTGGCCTTTGTATTAGACGTCTTTCGTTCAGAGCTTAGGACTCGAGCTTAAGGAGGTATTCCAAGGTTATCTTCCAAACATCCGAGGGCAACACCACCCTGGAAGTCGAATGTAGAAGCTTTGGGTGCAGAGATCTCCCAGGCTGCACGTGTATGTATGTATGTATTTAGGTCTGTTTGGCACATCAGCCCTGTACAGTTCAGCTGCACATCTCATAGAAGACCTGTCCCGCGATGCCGAATCTACGAGGTTCCGCTACCTGGTCTACGAGCTCATGACCGGGGGCGATGTCTACGACCGTATTCAGAAGAGCCGCAGGCGTGACAATCCCACGCCTTTCATCTGGCCAAGGGCTCGGCTTTGCTGCTCTGCGATGTCTCAGAGATTTTGCTAATTCTGGGGTGCGCTCAGCTCAGGTATGAGCGGATAAGCGCACTGCTAGACGCGGCGTCGGGCCTCTCACACATGCACAACTCCAAGCCGAAAGCCTTTCATCGCGCCGCAGCCTCAGCTTCCTAGGTCCTAGGTCCTAAACCCGAAGGTGCAGCGATCGTGTCTGGTTCTCGTAGCTGCCGCAGCTGATTCATTTGAGGGCGTCCGTCCACGTCCATCGTCAACCCCACAAAACACAGTAATAATAGAGACCTAGATCGATGACATGCCCAGCTCTTGGATTGACAGCAGCCACATCCCAATCAAATTTTGGTCTCCTGCCAGGACATCAAAGCCGCCAACATCCTCTTAGATCGGCCTTGAGCTCAGAGAGACAGCATCCCTCACAACAGGGAAACGACTGTATATGTATGTATATATATATATATGTATATATATTTATATATTTATATATTTATACATATATATAGGGTCTCGGATCAAGCA